TTCCTGCCAGCCTCCCCCCNCCCCCCGCCCAGCCTGGAAATTTCTTTATTTCACCTCACTTTTTTGAAGGCTCTTTTCACTAAGTTCAGAATTTCTTGGTTGGAAGTTTTCTTCCCCCTGTAGATTTTAAAGATACCATTTTAGTCTTCTATCTTCTTATGAGAAGCAGGCGGCTGTTATTATAATTGCTGTTTCTCTGCATTGTCTTTTTTTTCCCTTCTGCCTACTTTTAAGATTTTAGCATTGATTTTTAGTAGTTTGCCTATGTTGTGTCTAAGATGTGGTTTTCTTTATATTTATTCCATGTATTATTTATTAGCTGAGCTTGAATCTGTGCATCTCTTTTATTAATTTTGAAAAATTTTAACTATAATCTCTTCAAATATCTTTTCTTTCCACTCTCTCTTCTTCTGGGACTCAAATTACTTTTGTTTTAGACCAATTTGATATGTCTTTGGTTTTCTATGGTTTTGCCACAATGTGTCTGGGTGTAGATTTGTTTGGCATCTTCAGCCTATGACTTGATGTCTTTCCCAAGTTCTAAAAAAGTCTCAGATATTATCTTTTCAAATATTGTGTCTGTCTCATTCTCTCTCTTTTCTCATTGTGGGACTCCGATGAAACTGTATGTTAAACCTCACTGTATCCTCTATGTCTCTTACCTTCTCATATATTTTCTATCTCTTTGTCTCTCCATACTTCAGTCTAGGAGTTTTCATCTTATCTATAATGGTAATGGTCATTTGCATTGCTTCCACCTTTTGGCTATTGTGAATAATGTTGCTATGAACGTGGGTGTACAAATGTCTGTTTGAATGCCTACTTTTGATTCTTTTGGATATATACCCAGAAGTAGAATTGCTGGATCATTTGGTAATTCTATGTTTAATTTTAATTTTTTTGCATTTTTTTCCATTTTCATTTAAATTTATTGGGGTAACTTTGGTTAATATAACATCATACTCATATAAGTTTCAGATGTACAATTTTATAATACATCATCTGTATATTCCATTGTGTGCCCACCACCCAAAGTCTAGTCTCCTTCTGTCACCATCTATTTGACCCCCTTTACCCTCTTCATCCTCCCCTTACTCCCTTCCCCTCTGGTAACCACCATGTTGTTGTCTGTGTCTATGAGTTCGTTTTGTTTGTTTGCTTTTTTTGAGGAACCATCATACTGTTTTCTATAGCAGCTGCATTATTTTACATTCCCACTAATAGTGCACAAGCGTTCCAATATCTCCACATCTACATCTAACACCTGTTATTTTCTTTTTCTTTTCTTTTTTGGATAATAACCATTCTAATGGTTGTGAAGAATTAGCTCATGATTTTGATTTGTCAAAGCTTGGCTTTTGTTTCCTCGAATATAATAAGTTTGGTTGTTTTTTTTGGTCTGTGTCTGATAATTTTCTATATTTAGGGTCTCTGTGAATCTCTTTCTTTGTTGTTTTATTCATTTTTTTCTTACTGTATCTTGTCTCCTTATGTGTCTGGCTATGTTTGACTGTCCATTAGTCATTGTAGTACATTTGAAGAAAATTGTAGAAAAAGTTTAAGGTTAGAATGATGTAAACTTTTCCCAAATAGATTAAAAAAAACATTAAAAAAAATTAAAAATATATATTTTTAAAAATTTTGCTAGCCCCTTGGGAGTGTTCACAGTTCAGGATCCCTTTAATCTGTACTCAGAGTTTGACATTATCTATTGTAGAACGCTCAGAAGACTTTGAAACCAGGCTGTAATTGTGAAAGAATGGACCACTTCCAGTTCACATCTGTGAAATTTCTTCCGAACTCTTCATTAAAGCGTATGGAGTTTTGTTGGTTGAAGATTTGAATGTCTCAGTGAGGAGTCTGGAGAAGGGATGGGCAGTTGTTGGATTGGTATTGGATCAGGGGGCAGCTTGCTGAGCCTTGTATTGTGGTCTGGTATGGGCAAAGGAGGAAGGCAGACTGGGCCAGATAGGGCTAGGGAAACTGAGGCTGACTCAGAGATGGGCCGTCCCTACTGAGGCCATGTATGGCACAGGGTCTACCAGGTGGAGTACAGCAGGGGAGAAGCCAGGACTGCAGAGAAGCTGAGAATGTGACCGGGGGTGACTCTGCAGTCCAAGGCCTCTGTTTGCCTGGGCCAGAAGTAGGTTCTCTTCCCTGGGCCTGCACCGTGGCCTCTGCCAGGCCAACCAGTGCCTGGGCTGAGCCTGGACACTTGTGACAGCTTCATGATTGTTCTCCCTGCACCCATTCTGAGCCCTCCAGTCTGTTCTCCACCCAGCATGTTGTCCCTACTCAGGTCACTTCCATAAAGTCCCATTGCTCTTAGGCTGTCTCAAATTATTACCATGACTTGTGAGGTCCTATATGAGCTGGCCACTGTCCACCTCTCCAGCCTCATCTCCTCCCATTATCGGCCTCATTGTTCATGTTCCTTCTTCCTGTTTGTTTAAATCACTATGTATCCTTGACTGCCACCCAGTCCTTCGACAGAGAGCACTCCTCTTTCCCCTATCTGCCTAATGTTATGGGCTAAATATACGTGTCCCTGAAAAATTCATATGGTGAAGCCCTAACCCCCACTGTGGCTGTATTTGGAGTGAGGAAGTAATTAAGGTTAAAGGAGGTCATAAGGTGAGGCCCTGAGCCAGTTGGATTATTGTCATAAGAAGAGACACCAGGGAGCTCACTGTTGCTCTTGCTGCACGCGCATGTAAGGCCATATGAGGACATGTCAAGAAGGTGGCCTCACCAGAAACCAGATTGGCTGGAATCTTGATCTTGGACATCCAGCCTCAAAAGCTGTGAGAAAATTAACTGCTGTTGGCTAACCCACCTGGTCTATGTTATTTTGTTATGGCAGCCCAAGCAGACTAGTACATTTAATTTAACCCCAATTTTTCCTTTTAGATCTCACACCTACTGTTTCCCTAAACATCTTCAGGCCAAAGCCTCCTATTTCTGGATCTCATGGTACCAGCCCCATGTAAGATTTATGTTTTTGATGACCTGACCAATGTCTGCCTTACTTACTAGATTGTAAGCTCCAGGAGGGTCTCTGGTTTTATTCACTGCTGCATACCCAGAACCTAACAGAAAGCCAGGTACATGGTAGGTACACAATACACATTTATTGGGAACAAGAGGGTGGGTGGGGACAGACAATGCCTTGAGCTGGACACTCATGCTCATCTCTGGTCCAGCAGAAATTGCATATTTATAAAACAAGATGTGACTCCAAGCCCCACCCTGTGATAGGATTGGGCTCCTGTCCATCACGCCTGGCTCAGGTCCTGGGCTGGGCTGGGCTGGCCTGGCCTTCGCCTGCCTGCGCATGGGAGCAGCAGAACCCCAGCTGTGAGGGCTGGCAAGACAGGCTCTGACATCAGGCCACATCCTGTTCCTCCTCTGTGCTCTGCCTGCATTATGATACTCATTCTTGAAAAGGAGCTCGCATATCAATCGGGTAGAATTTTCAGCTTTTCTTCCTGTAGTTCAAAGCTCAGACTCTGGTTCCCACCTCTGAGTCTATAGCACTGGCTACTGCCCAGAGCTGTGCAGTAAACATCCATTGTTAGAAATGCTTTTGGTTTCAAGTATAATAGAGAATCCTACTCAAATTAGAATCAACCATAAAGGGAATTTATTGATTTATGTAATTTTACTTGGTAGATGGATTCAGGTAGGCCTTGATCAGCGTTCCAACTCTGTTTCTCTTCAGTTCTTTCTATCTTTCTCAATTCCATATGTTAACTTCATCTTCATTCTCATGGTCACAAAATACAATAGCTGCCAGCAGCAAATGGTTCCTTACTGGCATCCGGGATACATGAGGAGTGAGTGTTTTATGCAATTATTGTGATGAGATGAATGTTGGGTGCTGATAGATGTAGGCTGGGGTAATAGGGCTATCCCCGAAGCAGTCAATACAAGGTGGATGAGATGACGTAAACTGGCTTAGGACAGTTAGGGCCCACACCCACATGTGGGAGATGAGGTCCATCCCTCTCAAATTGTCTCAATGCTGTACAATGGGGAGATGGGCTGGATGTTAGGAAGGTGCATCTGGCAGGATAGGCTAGATGATGCTGTGGTGAAAAACAAGCCCCAACCTTGTTTTTATAACAACAAAGGTTTATGTCTTGCTTCTACTGCATGTCCACTGTGGGTCACCTAGGGGCATTATTCCATGTTTTCCCACTTCAGAACCCAGACGGATGGAACTATCACTGTCTCAGGCATTGTCTGTTGCTGTTACTGATGGAAAGGGAGTATAGAAAATTGTCTACTAGTTCTTAAAATTTGGACCTGGGAGTGACATACTTCTCCTCATCCTTTATTGACTACAACAAAAGCAAGTGACGTGGCCATTCCTGACTCCAAGCTGTAAGGAAGTACAATCCTATCATGTGCCTGGGAAGCAAACCCGAAGTTGTTGGTGGCTAGCATTCATGTCAACTACCACAGGAAACCATCAGAATACCCCCTACAGAGGGCTTATGGGGACCATCCCAGTTTTTGTCCATTTTCTGTTGGGAAAAGAACAACTTCCTGATTTGATTGCTACCTAAAAAGAGGCCTCCCTACTATGTAGAAACTCAATAATCATCTTCTGTGTAATAATCAAATATTTCTCAGGTTTTGTCCCATAAGTGGTTCTGTTTTCTCATTAAATGAAATCAATGGTTAAGATATCTCCTCAACTCAAAACAATTTCCTATTTTGTGGTCTTGGTGAACTACATTACCTGTAAGCTGGAATGTAATTATCGGTGCCAGGGGGAGTGGGGTGGCACCTGACTCAAGTTGGATCAATGAGAGCCTCTTCTCTGAGATTTGGAAATTGAAATGATTAGAGATTTTAGTCTTTCTCTGGGTAAGTTGGAAATGTGTCATGTACTTGGGAGTGGTTGGCAGACATATTTCCCATTGTATTATCTAGAAGCAAAGAAAACAAGTTTGCAGAGAGAGTCTTACAGGTAAACCTTGCTCTACTTCCAGTTCATCCAGAAGTCCAGCTGCGTGCTCCCCCTTGGCCTGAGAGATTCCTCCCACTCTTCCCCCAAAATGGTTTAAGGTAAGTTCCCCTTTTATTTTTCTTAAACTGGCTCAATGGGTTACTGGTACTTGCAGCCAACGAACTCCTAACTGACACATGTTCTTTTCCTCTGGACCCTGACCCAAAAAGGTCACAGGTGTAGCTCCTTCCAATAAACTAGAGCTCAGGTAGTAATTCTATTACATCAACTATATTTCTGGCAGTTTCTTTCCTGCTTGAGAAAGCTCATCAGAACGTGAGTGAGTGCAGATGACATTATTATAGAGTGCATCTGGAATCTGCTTACACTTTTTTTTTAAGAAAAAATAATTTTCATCCCCAGGTAAACATGATTTATGACATAACTCCTAACACTGATATTAAGTGCATTCTGTTTCCTCTGCCTGGAGTCTCCTCCTTATCCACTTTTGAGACCCAGCCCAATGTCACCTCCTCTTGGAAGCCCTTCCACACTCTCCTATATATTGGGTTGTCAGAAAAGTCGTGATGTTTTTTTTCTATGTTTTTCGTTGCAAAAATGTGTCATGACTTTTCTGACCACCCAATGGTATTAATCATGTATCTGCTTCCCAAAGCAGTTGGCACATTGCGTTTTCTTCCAGAAGTACTTCTTTACCTGTGTGTCTCCTCTGAAATACTGAGTTCCTCAGTGGTCAGGGAAGTGCCTTGTTTATCTCCGTGTCCCATAGTGCCTGGATTGGAACAGGTGCTCAGAAACGTTTGTTGAGTACATGAAGTTAATTGGAACAACATATCTCATATCTAGTTTTATTCATTCAAGGAATATTTATTGAGTACCTGACCATGTCAGGCCGTGTTCCAGATGCTAGAACACCAAGTTCCTGCCCTTGGGACATTACAAAAGATATTCAGGTCATAAGGGCTATGAGGAAAAATAGAGCAGGATGAAGGGAGAGAAAGTGATTGGGGTTGGGATTTGATATTTTAGTAGAGTTGTCTGGGAGGTGACTTTTGAGTAGATATTGGGAGTAAGGGTACACACCTTTCTTGGGGGACGTGCAAAAGTCCTGAGGGAAAAGTGAGCCTGCATGTTCTAGGAGCAGGAAGAAGGCCGGTGTGGTTGGAATGGAGTGAGGGGGTAGAGTGGAAGGAGAAGCAGTTAGAATAGTGAGGGAGGGTAGGGGTGTGGATCATCTAGAATCTTGGAGGCCCTTGGGAAAAAAAGCCTTTGGTTTTTGCTCTCAGTGAGATGGGACAAATGTTTTGACTTAGGCTTTAACAGAATCCCCCTGGCTGCCAGAGAACAAGCTCAATCAGAGCGGAGTGGCTTCAGGGAGCGCAGGGAGCAGGTTATTGAAATATTCTAGGACAAAGAAGATGAGGGCTCAAATGAGGCTACTTTAAAGGTAGAGCTGACAAACGTTGCTACTAGATTGCATGTGGGATATGATAGGCAGAGAGGAGTCAAGGGTGATTCCTGAGCCCCCAGAAGGGTGGAATTGACATTAACTGGGGTGGGGAAGATTGTAAAGGAGCAAGTTGGGGGGCAGTTTCTAGTTAGGCTTTGAACGTGTGAAGTGTGACATATTGCTCAATACGTAACATACGAGTATACGTACATGTTCACTGGTTTTCAGGATCCGAAGGTTATATGCAACCTAAAGTGAAAGGCAGCCTCACTTATTGAACACGAGGCACTGTGCAGAAAATGTGTGCTGTCATTTAATCCTTTCAATCATTCCTACTGGCTCAGTGACTAATATTTTCATTGCCCTTTTATGGACGAGAGATTAAATACCATGTACAAAGTCACTCAGCCAACTATTAATCTGCCAGTACAATGCAGATCTGGGATGCCAACCCAGTTATGTCAGACTGCAGAGCTCTTGCTGTTTATTAATCACTAGCTTCTAAATGTGGGGACTGCTTTCTGGGCGTATTTGGGCCCCATAACAAAAACGGTGCCTGGAACATGTGACAAACTCAGAAAAGGGCCTAGTCCCATCCCAGGCGTTACAGGTTACACAACAGAGGCTGTGAAGAAAGAACAGCTTTATTTATTGTACCTGAGGAGGCTAACTGATACTTGGAAGTTCTCAAATACCTGAAGATTGAATGTTAGGAAAGCATTTATCAGAAGTTGTTGTTAGGAAAGAGAAGAGCTTCAAAACTGCAGTGAAGCGTTGGTGGCATAAAAGAAAGACTGACTCCCAGGTGACGCATGTTGGGGAACACTGGGCTGGGGTAGGGGATGAGAGGGGAAGGCCTCTGGCCCCTGGTCCCTGTCCGGCCTACATCCTTTGGAAAGTGTAGCCTGGTGTGGCCTTCCTTAGGTGGTCCTCTAGAAAGACCAGGATATGCAGTACAAAAGCCGGGAACCTCTGGGCCACAGCATCCGCTCCAGTCCCCTTCTTCCCCATCCGCTGCAGGTTCCACATGGGTAAAAGCATGACCGGCGCCCGCGCATGCGCCCGGGACAAAGTCCGCTCTCCGCGACGTCAGGGGGCTCACGCCCGCACGAACGCCCCGCCCCGCGGGCGCCAGAGGCGACTTGGGCGGGGGGCCTCGGGCCACGCCCCAGCCGAGCCGAGCGGGGCCGAGCGGGGCCGAGCGCTTCCGAGCGCCGCCGAGTCGAGCCGAGTCGAGCGGCCCGGAGTCGGTTGGTGCAGCTGCGTCCCCGCCGCTCAGCAGTCCGCGGCTCCGGCGTCGCCGCCGCTGCCTCAGCGGGGCCTGCGCCGGCCGGCCGGCCACCCGCCGGGAGGGAGGCCCGGAGCGCGGGGAGAACGGCCCAGCTACGGGCGCCGCCGCCGCCGCAGCTGCCAGGTGAGCGCCCGCTGCGGCCCGTCAGCCCCGTGTGCCCCCGCGACTGTCAGTCCCCGTGTCTGTGCGTCCCTCTGCCTGTCAGCCCCCTGTGTTTGTGCGAGCTGCTTCCCGCCAACGCCTGACCCCCGGCCCTGCCCGCAGTGTACGCCAACCCCTCCCGCCCGCTGCCCCGGGTCTTTCTGTCAGCCGCCAGCACCCCCATGCTGGGAGGCTCCGCCCCTTCCCCCCGAGGCCCCGCCTTCCGCCCATCTGTCATCACCCCCGCCCCCAGCTCCAGGCGCGGGCGTCCTGGGGGCGTGAGGTGCCACCGATCTTGGGGGTCAGCGTAGCCATCACGGGCCACACAGCTGCGAAAGGAGCAACAAGGGGGTTGTGGAGGGGAAGCGGGGGGTCCGCAGATGCCCGCCCGACCGTGTGAGGGTGCGTGTCCCAGGGTCCGCAGGGTGGGAAAGCGTGGCGTGTGCGCCCGAGAGCCGGGAGGGGAGCGCGGAGGACGGGCTGACCGACGTGGGGCGGAGATGCTGGGCGGCCAGAGCCACTTGCTCCAACTTCGCGGGCCCCTTCGTCCTGCGGAGATGGGCCAGCCCCTGCCTGTGGTCTAAAGAGCGTCAGCTCGACCAGGGAGGCAGCTGAACCCGAGCTCGACCCGTTGGGGTACAGTAGGATCCTGAATCCTGGGACCCTTGTTTGTCCACGCGGAAACGGAGAACCTGGGCGCTGGGTTCCCGGCTGCCGCAAGCGGCGTGTGAGCGGAGTTTGGGGCTTGTCAAAACCTTCTTCCCAGTTTGGGATTTTTATTCCGAGAAGCCTGTTGGAAGTGATTGAGGAGTGGATGGGATGTGGGACTCAGGTGGAAAGTGTTGGAGAGCTTGGGTCGTTTTGAGTTGCGTGGTTTGCATTTCTGAGCAGCGATTGCTCCGAGCTTGTGCCCTGTGAGAAACTGGTATGTTTTTATCTGTACCTTTATTCATGAGACCGCCACACATCCTCAAATTTAAAAAAAGGATTACAGTAGTTTCCATTTTTTACATGCTTTTTAAAAATGTTGTTCTCTAGATGTTATTTATTTGTAGTAACTTAGTATTGCAATATTTCAAAACTGAGAGAAAAGGCGCCCTAAAAACAATTTGAGATTTTGCCGATAATTCTGAACCCCGGGGAAAGAGCCAAAAGCACACTTCATTAGCTGGAACAATTTATTTGGGCTTAATTTGTTTCTAAGAGACATACAGTGGAAAAATCCAGAAGCAGCAAAGTAGAATCAAAGAGTCTTAGGAAATTAATGAAAAGGGCCTTCTACTGCTGCCTTGGAAAGATGGTATCAAAGTTGCTTTAAGAGGACAGAGCTACTATGTAATGATAAACATATTAACCAAGTTGGTTTTGTGACCTTGATACCTTGAACAGCACTTGATTTGTTCAGTGCTTCAAACAGGCAAACATTGCAGGGGCAATGGGGTAATTTTTGGAGAAAAATGTTCCTCATGTTATTTTTTCTTTTTTCGTAAGATTTCAGACTAAGGCAGTCTCATGGTGGGAGAGATTTTTTTCCTTTAAGATAACATTAAAAAAATTACAAAAGTAATTCATGTTTAAGGCAGAAAACTAGAAAAACAAAGAAAAGCCTAAGGAAAAAGCCCCACAATCCCACAAACCATAGTAGATCAGTTTGGTATTTATCTTTTTAGTGTTTTGTTCCCATGTATAAGTATTTTTTCCTACAAAAATGCTACCATACCATAAGATTGTTTTATTGTATTTTTTCACGTATAGATTATGAGAGCTATCTATTTGTTTTATTTTATGAGTAAGAACTTATGTTCCCTTGGTGATCTTTTTAAAAAGCAAGTTAGCTCCTCCGCTTAGAGCACTCCAATAGTTTCTTGTTTTAAAGTAAAACCTGAAGACCCTGCCATGGCCTCCGAGGCTGCCTCCTTCTCCGTTCTCCCAGCCATGCTGGCTGGAGCTCTTCGCTGTGGCCTAAACACTTCAAGCAGATGCTAGCCTCAGTGCCTTTGCATTTGCCTAGAACTCTGTTCCCTGGATATCAGGGTTCTTGCCTCAGGTCTCTGCTCAGGCATAACCTTATGAGACTTTCCCTGACCACCGTGTGTAAAATACACCCCATTCCCCTTCCTCCTTAACCCAGCTTACTTGTCTTCATAGCATTTACCACCACTTGGTAAATACAGACTTATGTATTTGTTGGTTTATTGTCTGTCCCCCCTCCTCCC